CTGCAGGTGTTCCACGTGGAGGTGGAGGTGAAGGACATTAACGACAATCCTCCCGTGTTCCCCGGAACACAAAGGAATCTGTTTATCGCGGAATCCAGGCCGCTTGACTCTTGGTTTCCACTAGAGGGCGCCTCCGATGCAGATATCGGGGAGAACGCTCTGTTGACTTACAGGCTGAGTTCCAATGAGTATTTCTCTCTGGACGTACCAACCACCGACCAACAGGTAAAGCCTCTGGGACTTGTATTACGAAAACCTTTAGACAGGGAAGAATCTCCGGAACTTCATTTAGTGCTCACGGCCACTGACAGAGGCAAGCCTGAGCTGACTGGCACAGTTCAGTTAATCGTCAAAGTGCTGGACGCCAATGACAACGCCCCAGCTTTCGACAGAACACTCTATGCGGTGAAATTACCAGAAAACGTTCCCAATGCAACGTTTGTAATTAAACTTAACGCCTCAGATTTAGACGAAGGCTTGAATGGGGATATTATTTACTCATTCTCTAGTGACGTTTCTCCAGATATAAAATTTAAGTTCTACATAGACTCCCTAAGTGGGAAGATTATAGCAATAGGACATATAGATTTTGAAGAAAGTAAAGCCTACAAAATTCCAGTAGAGGCGATCGATAAAGGCCTCCCACCCCTGGCTGGTCACTGTACAGTTCTTGTGGAAGTTTTGGACGCTAATGACAATGCTCCAGAGTTGACTGTCACTTCCCTGTCGCTTCCTATCTCAGAAGATGCTCAGCCCGGCACTGTTATCATCTTGATTAATGTGTCTGACCAAGATTCTGGTGCCAATGGGCAGGTGACCTGCTCATTAACGCCCCAGGTCCCCTTCAAACTGGTGTCCACCTTCAAGAATTACTATTCGCTGGTTCTGGACAGCGCCTTGGATCGCGAGACTGTGGCCAACTATGAGGTGGTGGTGACCGCGCGGGACGCGGGCTCGCCTTCCCTGTCGGTAACAGCCACCGTGTCCGTGGAGGTGGCCGACGTGAACGACAACGCGCCCGCGTTCG